GAGGGAGGAGAGACAGCCAGGAGAGCAAGGAAAGACAGCCAGGAGAGTGAGGAGAGACAGCCAGGAGAGCGAGGAGAGACAGCCAGGAGGATGAGCGAGGAGAGACTGCCAGGAGGATGAGCGAGGAGAGACAGCCAGGAGGATGAGCGAGGCGAGACAGCCAGGAGGATGAGCGAGGAGAGACAGCCAGGAGGATGAGCGAGGAGTCGCGACCCTATGTTCAATGGGTCAGTGGGACCGCATGCCTTCCACTTTTCTAGGTGAAAGGCCCCTCTGCCTCCCCCTATTGCAGCACTGTTAGTTCTCACACCAAGCAGTTATTCAAAATATGCTGCCCAGCGCCGAGTGTCAGCTTGAGATAGGATAAGGCTATGGCCGCGAGGGAGCTCCATCCATATGTGCAGTGCTTACAGCTCCCTCACGTGTCTTATAGAGGTGCCTGGACCAGAGTGACATCACATTCTGGCTCCCGGCACCCCTACAGGGTGTGCATGGGAGCTGTACATATGGATAGAGCTCTGTCACAGCACAGCAACCCACACTGAGGATCCACTCCAGTTCTCGTAAGGTAGGGAGACTGGGAGGAACTTAAAAAAAAATGGAAACATTTTGGAGTGTGTATGTGTGTGAGAATGTGGTTGTGTATGTATGTCAGTGTTTTTGGGGGACATCATTCTGACAGTCAATGGCCAGCCTGGGTGTAAAGAACAGCAGATACACTCCAGCTAGTATAGTTTTGTGTTGTTATGGTCCTAATTCCCCGAATCCTCTTACAGACAACCTTGTGGTATAAAGGAACTGTTTATCATTATTATGCTTATTTAGATTTAAATGTGTTTTTTTATGTTGTAAAGCACTTTGTACATTTTTTTGAAGTGCTGTATGAATAAAGTTTGTCTTTGTACGTGACCAGGTAGAGTCTTTGTGCCCTGTACTACGGAGATGAATGTATTTGGTTGTGTTAACATTCCCTCCAGAACCCACGCTGTCATATTAGTATTGGCAATTCTAACATATTGCCCCATGGGCCACCAAGCAGGATTCTGGCTATAGCCAAGCCGGTGGGAACAAGAAATGGACTTACCCCGCTTTGTCACCCTCCACGCCCCTGTTGCAGATGTGGGCAGGTACTCTACCCACATCTATGTCACTTATATTTTACTGCAACTTACCAACAAGGATGTGAAGGAGCAGGCAGATCATGGTGTGCTTAACGTGACACTAAACTCAGGAGTTGCATCTTAAAAATGCATTCAACTACCTTAACTATTAACAAAAATGGATACACATCAGTACACACAGCGATGCAGAATAATGCCATCAGCTATACAGGACTACAAATCTCATCAATACACACAGCGATGCAGAATAATGCCATCAGCTATACAGGACTATAAATCGCATCAATACACACAGCGATGCAGAATAATGCCATCAGCTATACAGGACTATAAATCTCATCAGTACACACAGCGATGCAGAATAATGCCATCAGCTATACAGGACTACAAATCTCATCAGTACACACAGCGATGCAGAATAATGCCATCAGCTATACAGGACTGCAAATCTTATCAGTACACACAGCGATGCAGAATAATGCCGTCAGCTATACAGGACTACAAATCTCATCAATACACACAGAAAGCTAAATAATGCCATCAGCTATACAGGACTACAAATCTCATCAATACACACAGCGATGCAGAATAATGGCTTCAGCTATACAGGACTACAAATCTCATCAATACACACAGCGATGCAGAATAATGCCATCAGCCATACAGGACTACAAATTCCAGCCAGGCCGCCAGCAATATAAACAGCAATTACAGTATAGAGCAATGCCATCAGCTATACAGGACTACAAATCTCATCAATACACACAGAAAGCTAAATAATGCCATCAGCTATACAGGACTACAAATCTCATCAATACACACAGCAAAGCAAAATAATGCCGTCAGCTATACAGGACTTCAAATCTCATCAATACACACAGCGATGGAAAATAATGCCGTCAGCTATACAGGACTACAAATCTCATCAATACACACAGTGATGCAGAATAATGTCATCAGCTATACAGGACTACAAATTCCAGCCAGGCCGCCAGCAATATAAACAGCATTTACAGTATACAGCAATTTTAAGTTACATGCTTTAAAAAAAAAAAAAAAAATCTTAGCGTTCTTCTCTTGATTTTTGTAGAGTAATACAGGGAGACTGGCCGACGAGAGGTTCTTTTTCCTTGTTTTGGGCACGCAGGTGGCAGCACTGACAGGTGCACTGATCTGGGAATGGAGCAATCCGCACAGGCAGGGCCCTATGAAGTCCAGAACAACACGTTGATGATTGGTTTCCGCAGCACCGATATTCCTCAGCAGCAGCCGAAAAAAAGAAAACTAGTCCCCTCTCTCTCATGCTGTCAGTTCAGCAGGGAGGGCCGGGAAGGAATGGATTCGGGAGCACCTGACCTGGGGACTGGTAGCTTTTGGTTACTAGAGACCTCTCTGTCCCACGGGGCTCGGTCAGGCCAGAGGAGCAGAGGGAAAAAAGTGCGGTAGACTGTCGAGGAGACTGCCTGCAACTGTGGCCCAGTTCCTAACCGGCCCCGGATGTTGAGGACCCCTGCTTTACAACACACACGGGGACCATGGGGAACAAAAATAGCCAAACCCAGAAGGAAGGACAATGTCACTATGAATTCATGAAGGATTTGAGGATCTACAGCTGAGTGATACACAAATAAGATACATTTTTGTTAATAGTTAAGGTACTTGAATGTATTTTTATTCTTAAAGTGTCACTTTAAGAATGTAGGAGCAGACAGATCATGATGTGCTTACATCTCCTTTGCACAGAAGCGTACTATTGCTTCTTGCACCCCAGTGTAGTTGTATAAGTGTCCCTGTTGCCCAAGTCATCCCCACCACTGACCTTCTGGTCCTTGCTGTGTGTTGTACAGGCACACGGGCATAATAAAATACTGACATCTGCACACAAACATTTTTCTATGTTATACATATTTAGTAAGTTACCTTAAAATGACATTAAAGTCAGATTTCCCCCCCCCCCCCCTTCCCAATCCTGCTGTAGGGACTTACCTTAAATGATGCCTCTTGATTGGATCATCTTCTTCCCTGTCCTTTTCTGCTGTCCCTCCAGCGCTGGTGCGGGTCTCCGATCCAGCGCTGACTCCTCTGTCCTCTTCTCTGACGTCCCACGGAGTCTGTGTGGGTGCACGCTGCTCCGTAGACTTACCTTGTGTCTCTCCTGGTCTCCCGGCCGAACATCTGAAGTGCGCCCGCCCCAAGATGCTTTGTGGCCGCCCAAGAAGACTCTTCAGATGTTCGGACGAGAGCGTGCGGCGAAGACACAGGTAAGTTTTTAAAAGTTTTTTTTAATGTTTTTGCATATATCTGCTGCTTGCTAGATATATGCAAAAGCCGATGAGGGGTTAATAATCCTTTAGGGCCTGTTCACATGATATCAGGTCCAGATCAGGTGCGGATCTGCAGACGCGGTGCTACTGATGCAGTGCATTTTGGCCGTGTTTTTGATGCGTTCCAGTTTAAAAAATATATATATATATTTGCTGGAGTGGGGCTGTCAGTATGTTAGCTGCAGTGCAGTGCCTTTTTGACGCGTTTTGCGTTTCCGGTCCGTTTCCTGACCGGACAATATGTGACATGCAGTATTTTTTCTGTCGTAACCTGAACGGACTGCGCACGTGAGAACTGTAGCCCATAAAACAAATAGGGATACATTGGGATGCATTTTTAATGCAGGAGCGTACGGATCAGGTCAGCACAGTAAACGGACGTCGTGTGAACAGGCCCTGAATCAGGCACAAACCTTATCACTTACCCTACAACCCAGTGCAGCTTCACAAGTGGCACCCTAGTAGAAATGGGCAACATTCATTTAACAAGGGCAGTAATATTTCCACACTTTCACTGCAGGTTTAACTTTGGTTGTGGAATCACAGTACTGAAGTCAGAGGGTAAACATGACAGCTATGCAATTAGCGTTTTTAGAGAAGTCAACAATGGCAGCCTTTTTTTGTGACAGGTTTACTCCAGTCAAGCAGCTAAATGCACTAATGAAGTACGTACGTGAGCTGTTTTACCTGCCAAACAATATGTTTTCCATCCAGTCCTGAGATTAGCACATCTATGCCACACAGCATAGCCCTGTCTAACAGGATAGAGGGCCCGATCTTTCTATGCTTCAGTTTAAAGGAGAAGTATTGGGAGAGTAAAATGTACTCTTCCGAATATTTAGAGCAGGCGTGTGATACTGCAGGCGTCACATGCTGGCTCCATAGCTTGAGAGCTGAGCGATTGCAATCTGCTGATGGCTTCTTCATGCAGAGAGCAGTGACTGTCAGTCATGGCTCCCTGCAGGGATTCTCCCCTACCTTCAGTGCTGACTCTGGCTCTAGAAAGAGCAAAAAGCAGGCAGTAACCCGCCAGATGCTGAGTTGAGTCACAGGAGTACATTAGTAAACATACTCCTTTGACCCAAAAGAGGACTAAAAACAAAGATTTGGCTTTAGTTCTCATTTAACTTTCACTCAGAGGTCTCGTCCCCCCTTCTTCTGTGACTGGACAGTGAAAGAGAAGCGGCAGAGTAAGAAGCTCATCTCTTGCTCACGCTGCTCTCTCCTTTTATTAGCATGCTCCTTGCACTTTAAAACAACTGATTGACTTGTGTTGTCTCTCCAACCCACAGTCTGGGTTCTGATGTGCAGGGATTGCAAGAGGCCGATACCAAGTTAGGTTCAGGTTTACACTTCTTCCATCAATACATGATATAGACTATTGATCAGAAATCTGCATTCATTTGTGTGTATTTTACATCTGCCTGGAGTTCAACTTTAAACAAGCACCACAAGGTCAGAACCCCTCCCTTTTTGTATAATAACAATAATAGTACACTGTATGCATGCTGTTTGCTTCTGTTGCCAGCAGATCTATAAAAGCACTTGTGTGTTCTGTATTTTTTGCCCTATGCAGGTACTGCCTTTTATCTATCGGGCTATCGGATCAAGACACCTCCCTGCCAAGAACATCAGCTTCATTCATTTTGATTCTCACCCCGATCTTCTGATACCAGTGAATATGCCTGCAGATACTGTGTTCGACAAAGAAGCCTTGTTTAGGTAAGGCCATTGTATGTAGCTTGGTTTTGCAGATTCCTTTAGTTGTATGTAGATGTACATGTGGGCTATTGTGAAACTTGAAGATTTCTCCACTTAGGCCCCGTTCACAATGAGCGATTTATCGCGTGGTAATTCCCGCGATATCGCGGCTATTTACCACGCAATATCGCTCTCCAATGGTTGGCAATGGGGCAAAGGGTCCTGCTGTCGCGGGTCGTGCGTCGCTACAGCAGGACCCTTTTTGGAGCGGATTTTGCCGCGATTCTAGCATGCTCAATGCAAGCATTTGCGCGATATTGCGCAAAATGCAAATTGCGCGACAAACGCGCGATTTACCAATCGCGCAGTGTGAATGGGGCCTAAGAAGAATAATCCTAGGTAATACCCAGTCAATGCATATTTTTTTATGAGGACCTTTTAACCCTTTCGCTGCACATGTTAAATGCACATTCTAGATGTGAAGATTACTTAAAAGAGAACTTTGCGGTAACCTTTTTATCCCATAGTTCTCTTTAGGATCACGGGAGGACATATACTAACCTCCTCCCGTGACCCAAAGCTCAGTATATAGCGGGCTATTGCCCGAGATATACTGAGACCGCCGCAGCTGGGACAGATCCTGACAATACCGTTGAGATCCACCAGCTGGCTGATTGACAGTGGGCTCTGCCTATCTAGAGGCAGAGTCAGCTGTGCCCCCCCCCCCCCTCTCTGTTTCTTCACTCAGCGCTGGAGGATCAGAGAGGAAAGGGGGGGAATCCCTGTGGGAAGCGGTGACTGACAGTCACGGCTCTCTGCAGGAAGATGATTGTCTCTTGTGTGTTTTTGCTCACTTCCCGATCTATAGAGTCAACATGTGACAGTTTCAATGTCACTCACCTCAAAGTTCTCCTTTTTAAAGCTCATAACTTTTCAGATTGTAAGCCCTCAGGGGCAGGGTCCTCCTTACCATCTTGTCTTGATTTGTACTTTAACTGTAATGTCTTCCTTATATTGTAAAGCGCTGCGCAAACTGTTGGCGCTATATAAATACTATGTAATAATAATAACTTGAAGTTATACTCACCTGATACTCCTAGCTGGCCGGCTGTGACAGCACTCTCTCCTGCCTGTCTCTTCCTCCGCTGAAGCAGTGGAATGTTCCTCGGCATCCTCACGCTCTATACACTGTTTGTAGAACTTGATGATTTATTGGTTCTTAGACTGCAGCAGCGGAGGGGGAGAGAAGCTCTAGGGAATGGTGTAAGAGCTAGCCGGCTCAGAGGATCGGGTGAGTATAACTTTACTTTCTTCTCTAGACCAAAATGAGTACTTAAGCGTTGCAGTGCGGGGGTAGCCCCACTGCAAGGGATAATAATAGTTTTCCTGAAAGTCTTCTTTAAGACCCCCCAGACTACCATGTTTTCTGAAAGCAGAGTAGAATTACATGAGGGCAGTTGCCCTTTTTTTTGTGGATATTCCCACAACTGTTTATCTAACCCACATTTTCAGTAAGAAATAATATTTAATTTTTAAGGCATAAGGCACAATGTTGTTATTAGTTAGGGTAACTGAATGCATTTTTAAGATTTAACTCCTGAGTTTAGTGTCACTTTAAATTAGTTTTAGTGCACATGGACAGAATATATGGTAAAATATAAAAAAGGTGAGGTTGTGCTGAGGAACTTGATACCAAACGTGTCAAGCTTCAAAATGGCACGCTCGCGTGAAAAGGCCAAGAACTTTGACACCCAATGTTATCCATAGACAAAGCTTGAAAAGTCTTTGCAGGCCATCTGAGTTATTGGTAAAGCAGGCCCTAGAATTATTGCTCTCATTCTGGCATGCGCAGCGATTCCCAACATGTATGGTGCAATCTACATTTTTATACTTAGGAGCAGACAACGTGTGTTTGCGTTCATAAGTACGACAGGGCAGGAGACACAAACTGCTGCACTTTGTCGTAAGCCATTTAAGGGGAATGTTTGTGTTTTTATTATGTTTAGGGCCAAAAAAGAATACATTTTTGTTTTTTTTTTATCTGGTAAATGTGACATATTGCATAAGAGTGTTTTATTTTTATTATTTCTAGCCAGCAGGTGGAGCTGTAGCCTTTCTCATGCTCACCAGAGTAAGAGGTATACGCAAAAACGCTCATCCCCATAATTAGAGCCGACGTGTGACACTAAAGCTGTCACACTTCGGCTCTATAGATTGAGAACTGAGCGATCACATACCGCTGATCCTTCAGTTCCCGATCTTCTCCTTGCAGAGAGCGGTTACTGTCAGTACCGCTCCCCTCTCTGATCCTCCAGCTCTGACTGGACGGACTAGGGAGTGGATGGCCACAACTGGCTCTGCCCCCAGTGGTCAATTAGGTTGCGGGGTGGATCCCGACAATATTGTTGGGATCTTTGCTGACTTCAGCATGGTTCTGCGCTGTCAGCATATAGTGCACAATAGCCCGCTATATACTGAGTTTTGGGTCACAGGAGAACATTAGTACCGTATTTGCCGGCGTATAAGGCGACCCCCTAATTTTCCACTTAAAACATAGGTTTTGGGATATACTCGTCATATAAGACTACCCCACTTCCGAGGCAACACCAAAAACATCATGGATGTATGTGCGGTAATACTGTATGTACGGTAGCTTCAGCTACATGCAGTATACCGCGCTGAGCCAATCACGGCGAGCAATGTATTCTATTAATGAATACAAAGCCTGCTCGGATTGGCAGAGGTTGTGTACATCGCTCGCCGTGATTTGACTCAGCGTGGTATACTGTATGTAGCCAAAGCTACCGTACATACAGTATTACCGCACATCCAGCGGGCTGACAGATTAGGGACATTCGTTTTGGGCCAGCTTGGCCCAAACGAACTAAAGGTATAGATTGAATACCCCACGTATAAGACGACCCCCGATTTTCAGGGGATGTTTTTAAGTATAAAAAGTAGTCTTATACGCCAGCATATCAGAGGAATGACTCACTCATTCTCCCTCACCCCTTTTCTATGGGGGCTCTTTATGGCTCACCAGCATCTTTCTTATAGAGAAGAACAGTATAAAATTACAAAGCTGCTGCTGTGCTCTGTCTATAGAAAATCCAGAATTGCCTCAAAACTTGAGTCACGAGTACAACCTGCATGTAATATTCATTTGTTAAATTAACAATATTTTAAAATAGTAAACATGTTTAAACTAGAGCTGCAGCTAACGATTATTATCAAAAATCGATTAGTTAGCCGATTATTAAGTTCAATTAATCGGATAAAAAAAAAAAAAACATCTTAAAAAATGGCTCCAGTGATGGGACTACTAGTTTTGTATTGATGAGGCGGGGAGGAGGTGTGGAGTGAATGCGGGTTGGCGGGTCTGGCAGCGGCGAGCGTGAGGTGGGGAGGAGGTGCGGCGCGCAGCTATCAGAGGCCGATTAATCGATGATTGAAAAAGTTGACAACTTTTTCAATCATCAATTATTATCGATTATGTCGATTAGTTATTGCAGCCCTAGTTTTAACCAGTTTAAAATCTATCACATTTAGGCAAAAGTGCCCCAGAACCATTGTAGTTTTCCTTCAAACAGCATTTTGAAATTGCTGACTGAGCGGGGCCTGAAGCTTTGCATTACCAATACAGTCATTTACATATGGTCTTGCCCAGCATTGCTCAACCCTTTTTTATGTGTAGCCCACCAGTATCTAGTTATCTTTCAGGGTCAATGAAACAATGTGGTTGCCTTTGCAGTGTTGTAAATATAAAATATTTGTTCTTAACATCTGGCTGCCCCAAAGAGCATAAGGCCCCGTTCACATTGAGCGAATTATCGCGCGGTAATTCCAGCGATATCGCAGCTATTTACCACGCGATATCGCTCTACAATGCTTGGCAATGGGGCAAAGGGTCCTGCTGTCGCGGGTCGTGCGTCGCTACAGCAGGACCCTTTTTGGAGCGGATTTTGCCGCGATTCCAGCTTGCTCAATATCGCACAAAATGCAAATTGCGTGACAAACGCGCGATTTGCAAATTGCGCAGTGTGAATGGGGCCTAAAAGTAGCCAGAAAACCTTAAATTCAATCAAAGACAGAAGTTAAACAACAGCAGTTATTCAAGCAAACAAAGTTGTGTTAAATAATGTTTTTGTTTAGGAAATCTACCCCCTTTTTCTTGGGTTTAGATACATGTTAACATATGTGTAACAATCACAAGCTGGCCTTTTCCAACAGCAATCCAGAATGAGAAGAATCTTTAGCCATGGTGGAAAATGGATCTTTTGAAAACCTTATCTCACCTACATGTAGAGGTACTTGTCTGTCCCTGCAGGTGTCAGGGCGCTGGAACCCAACATGGGTATATGAAGCTATCCCGCTCACAAGAAACCCCCCGAAGACAAAGTAGGCGCATGGACATTGGTGGTATTGGTATAGTCACACTCAAGCATAAATCAAATTTAAGTCTGTCAGTGTTTCTAAAGCCACTTTTGGATACAGGGGTTATTGCTGTCTGTCTCCAGCTGGGGAGATTCACTCTCTCTGTTTGCCCCGATTACAAAATTTACAGAACGAAAAAGTGACGAGAAATCTCTCAATTTACAGTTACCACCAGAACAGGAGGTGATGAGAAATCTTCCATCTTCCATAGGGGACACCTATTCCAGTTACAACCGTCTAAGAGGGGATTTTTCACTCATATTGGGAATGTTTCATCTCACTTCCTTTCTAGGCAATCACCCAATTTTCTGCCTCTATGCTAAACAGCGTGAATGAAGGAATCTGCATGCAGTTACTATTCGGGTGCCAATTTTCCATCTGGCTCCTTCGATTTTTTTAAATTGACTTATGTGGAGCAGGTTAGTTCTGATAGGGCCACCTATGGCTCCAATTTGGGCCGATTCAGCAGGATTCAACCTAAATTTGAGCCACGTATGACACTCTTAAAGGGTCTATTCACCTTTCGGTACATTTCCCCAAAAATCCCTCATGCATCCTCAGTAACTTACAAACCATTGTTTAGTTCT